TAGAAGGGAAAATTGTTTCTGGTGTGAGTTGGAAAAAAAGTGTCCTGGCATCAATGGGAGAGAGAAGTGTCCTGGCATCAGAAGGAGGAAATATTGTCCTGGAGTCAGTAAGTGTGTCCATCAGGGGGAGAGAGAGTGTCAGCGGGACGGAAAGTGCCCCACCCACTGACACACAAGAGTAAACTCCCCAGCTGAAATCCCCTCCAAAGCAAAATTCCCTCCTTCCCTCTCTATAGAAGGTCCTGGAGCAAAAGACAGAAAAGAATAGACGAAAGGACCACATGACAGGGTATCAGGATAGAAAGGGTTAGGTGAAGAGGGGTGTACAGGGGGTGGTCTCTTACCTTTGTTTGGCCAATTAGGTTAAGCCAGGAGGAGTCTCCCTGGTGGTCCGAGGGGGGCGGAGGGTCAGCCAGTCAGTCCAGGGTTGCCACACGGTGAGATCAGTTCCCACCCTCCCTCCCTTGTCTTGGTTTTTTGTTGTGGTCAAGTTCTCTGTTGTGATGGTGTGGCGTGGTCTGTTAAGGCAAATTATGTCGGGCTGGTTGAGACTCCGGTAGGGCGCGTCCTTGGTACGCAGTCCTGGGAGCTTGCAGGTCCCGCGGAGAGAGGTCAAAGACTGAGGGTAGGAGGTCTCTGCGGTTTATGTACTTTGTTGTCCCTGAGTTGGTGAGTTGCGGCTAGGGGCCACTTGGTATGCAGAGTTCTACGGTAGGAGACCAATGGTGCCCCCACAGACCTCAGCCATATTGATAGGAATCCATTGTCTTGAAACTGTTATGATTGAATATTTTATATTTAATTTGTTATAAAGTTATTATATTTAAATAAACGGCTGCTACAGCCATTTTATATCCAACTTGGTGTGGTCTATTATTTGGTACTGGCATTTAGAATGGGAAGGGACTGTAGTAACCTATGTTTAGTCGTATAGCTTATGTCTTACCCTGTCAAGACAAACCCTCTACCCCAGGGGCTAAAGTCCCCCCTGCAAAAAAACATCTAGGGACATTACAACATCCAGACCTCAGATGCAGTGCTGCATACATCCAGGTGAAGTTCTGAAGACTTTCTCAGCTCTGAGTCATTCTATATTGAGGTTTGATCAGCATTTAGTACTTCGGGCAATTAGAAAATGTATTTGCCTTTAATGACCTGGATATTAGCAGTCGATCTTCAATTACTTTCATATATTGATCAACAGTGAAAGATATACTGAGCATTTCTAGACTTCAGCACTCAAGGCATGTTTCCTGGACTGGACTGGACTGAGTGCCTTGACCATCTACAGCTTGCCTTGATCTTCTTCTGAGTGCCCCTACGGAGTGCCCCAGTCATCAACTGAATGTCCCTGGTCATTTACTGACTGTCATATACTTCCTATAAGTTCCTTGGTCATCTACCGAGTGCCCTATACTCCTAATAAGCGTCTTGGTCATCTCCTAAGTGTCCTGCACTTCTACTGAGTGCCCCAATCATCTATCGAGTGCTCATATAATCTACTGTGTACCCAAGTCTTCTACTGAGTGCCCCAGTTATCTAAGTGTCCGTGTTCATCAGCTGAGTGCCCATGCTTCTACTGAGTGCCCTGGTTATCTACTGAGTGCCATGATCATGCACACAGTGCCCAGGTCATTTACTTAGCGTCCCTGGTCATCTACTGAGTTCCCTAGTCATATACTGACAGTGCTCGATTCTTCTACTGTGTGCCCCAGATTTACACTCAGTATGATCATCCACTCAGTGTCCATGAATATTTAATACATTCCTTAGTCATCCACAGACTTCCCTGGTTTTATTGTTAGCGCCCCAGATGATCATTAACCTCTTGCCGTCCGCCCGTAGTAAAAAAACGGACGGACGGCACTGCAGCATCTGCGGGTTGCCGTCTCCAGACGGCAATTTTTTTCTGCTCGTGCGCGCCCCCTAGCGGGCACGCACGGGCAGAAAAGACCCGCTAAATGCACACACCCGTTACCGGGTGTTTCACATATAGGCGATCGGCGGGTCCATAGCATCTGTCCCCAAAAAAGGGTATAAAATTCATTTCAGTACAGCGCTGCATGACGGAATAAATGTCAGTTAAAGTACCGCAGCGCTGAATACTGAAAAATGGCCTGGATGGGAAGGGGGTTTAACACCGCGGATGTCAACTGGTTAACTATCATCCATGTACCTTAAGTCTTCCACTGAGTATTTCAGGACTTTTTCTAAGTATAATAAGCAAAGTTCCCCGAAAATACAGAATCCCAAAATAGGAGCTGTCTATAATAATCAAACAGGTAATGATAATGTAACAACATTTTAATGAGAATTAATAATAAAAGTAGAAAAACATATAAATACACCTACTGACAAAGAACATCTAAAATCAATTAAAATGACAAACAAGTCCTCCCTGATATATATGTGATGGCTGGATCTTTATAACTCATGTTCTGAAACTTTGTAACCACATGTACATAAATATAGATTTGAATGCTATGTAACTGTATACATGAATGTAAATATAATCATATTCACTTAGATACAATGTAGAAGGGGAAATATGACACGATTTTAGATGTTCTTTGTGAGTAGGTGTATTTATATGTTTTTCTACTTTTATTATTAATCCTCATTAAAATTTTGTTACATTATCATTACCTGTTTGATTATTATAGACAGCTCCTATTTTGGGATTCCGTATTTTCGGGGAACTTTGCTTATTATAGATTGACGCTGGAACCCAGGAGTTTTTTGTCCACTTTATTGTTATTTGAGGCGCTTCTCCTTTCCCCATTTGTTATTACTTTTTCTAAGTACCCGGTGTTCCTTGCTAGATCTTTACTTTCTGAACTTCTAGGCCAATTGCCTTGTGTTGTCCACTCCTAACTCAGTTAATCCAGCTAGTTAGATACACCAATCCTGTGCATGGAGAAGCAGAAAGAGACAAAAACATAGATTACTGCTTTAACAACTGAATGCCTATTGATTAACATTGGCCTTACACTGTACATTCAATGTACAATTGTAAGTTTTTGTTCTCAGCACACTGCTATATTGCTGTGCAGTAACTATTTCCCCCACAGTAACAAACCCCCCCCCCCTCTTTTTAATTACTATGACCGCCTTAACGAGAGTTCAAAATGTTGTAATGTGGTGCTGCGAGCACAAGTGTATACTGTCCCAAAGACTGTCTGTGAAAATCGCACTGTATAAGGCAAACCTAAGCATATAATTCGAAGGGTTTGTGTATTTTCAATGTAAGCCTCAAAGCCGCATGAAAATGCATTCTCGTTATGGTGTTCATTTAATTTTTGACATTGGGACCTGTTCCTCATGGCAGTGCCCAGCTTTCCATGCATTTTGTTTACCTATAGCTATTCCAATAACCCTACAAATGTCTACCATTGAATAACAAAATTCACACCCTATAGATTACAATAGAGTTCACTGGCAAGTTGTCAAACTTTGAACAAAATTCTAGAAACAAACCAAACCAGGACAGATTCACTCATCCCCACCAGGCACAATGCGCTGCTGGGCCAGGGACGGAGACATTTCCAGGGACAGTGTGGTGCAGGGATGGGAATGCAGTGTCTTTTGCAGAGACTTTGCCAAACTGGTGCCATTATACAGTCACCTAAGACAGGCATCTTAGTTGGGTAGGTACATTTTTTGTTGGTTATATGTTTAAATGAAGCACTGAGATCTTGAGCAATGCTGAATTAAGTTTTACTTGCTTAGAAGAATATCATATCAGAATACAGCATTATATATCATAGTAGAAGGAAAACATATAGACAGATAGATCTTCCTGTTTATTGTAGACAAGTAAGCATGCATATAGAAAACTAACATAGACTACACTTGCACTACAGCACCATCTAGTGCTCAAAAGACAATTACATATCAGTATGCAGTTGCATTTCCAACCTGTATCTGTTCTCATGCTGGGCAGAACTTCTGTTTTGCAGCAGACTGCCTTATCTCTGAAATGGATACATGGTGTCTGTGTGTACGTTTGCAACGTGAGCCAGCACTACTGGAAGAGGCACTCAGCTGCAAAGGAAGTTCTCCCCAAGCATGAGAAGACATGAGGATTTAAACGGAAGACCAGCAAAGAGAAGGGAAACAACCATGGATTACAGTAAGGCACACATTACAGTATTGTTTTATGTTAAAAAATCTGAGGGTTTAATGTCACTTTAAGTGAACTTCATCCAGCTTAAATTATAAATCACACACTTAGGGTTAGTTAATTTTTGTATGCATATGTAAGGTTTTGCACAATTTTATAATTACATTTCATGTACGTATGTGTTACGTTGATGCCAATTGATAATTATTAATTATATGATACACGATCCATGCCATTTGTCACAGTCATTTACTTTTCTTGCTGCAGCGCCAGCACCTCTTCTGCCTCCCACGGTCACGGGCACTTCCAGGTTCTGCCCAGAGTGTCTCATGATTGTAATTGTCATGTGACTGTGATTCCCATTTAAGCTTGAGCGAGACATGCTGCTTAACTAACAAACTCTACCCCATCCAATGGAGTTGTACATAATTAGCTTGTAATAATTAGAACACAAACTTGATGAATTTGAATCAATTTAAAAACATTCAATGATAAAACATCTGAGTAATCCAAACATTGGAACACAGTCTCCTGCTTCAGTCTGCTTTTGTGCCATCATCTTGAAAGTCTTTTTCCTGGTTTACATCCAGTGCAGACACAACACAGGTCTCTGCCAGGTCTTTGGGACTTGGCAGAGCTTTGTGGCATGTCCGTGCATGTGTGTGAATCCTTCACAGGTCCAAGACCTGCAGTGTGTCTGTGCATGTGTGCCAACGAAATTGCATGATACTTTGTCCCAGTGCCACCTGGGATGTGTGACATGAACATACCAAGAATCAGTGGGTGGGTGATCTACATCATCCTCACCTAGGCAAGGAATCCACAAGTGGGGAGCTAAACAGAGAAATAAAATGTATTTTGTATGAAAAGAAAGTAGGGATGCACCGATACAGGTTTTTCATTATAGCGAATACTGATACTAGTAGTTCCGGGAGAATGGAGCCAGCTTCCTGGCCAATCAGGAAGCTGGGCGGCGGGTCATTACCTACCCCCGGCTTCCTGATTGGCCTGGGAAGCCGGCTCTATGCTGTTTGCCTGCCTCAATGCTGATTGGCTGGGAAGCCGGCTCCATGTTCCCTGGCAGCACTGACGGTCAGAGGAAATGTCCCTGTGACTGGAAGTTCAGGTATCGAGGTAAGCAGAACATTTTTGGCGAGGATGAGTCCTCTCCCAAATACTCCATATCGGTGCATCTCTAAGAGAAAGCCTGAAAATGTGTAGGGGGGTGGGGGATAGGTGGATAAGAAGAGAAAGTACATTCTGTGGATGAAGGCTCACAATAATTATGACTGATTTGTGTTAATTAGAAGAAAAATAGGAATACATTTTACTTTTCACTTGTAAGGTTTCTTTAAATGATGTCACATGCCGATCAAAGGTGACACATTTGATCTACATATAAATGAAATAGTGAATGCAATGACACATAACATTGATTCATTGTATTTACTCAATGACACTTGCAAACTATCTGCAAGTGTCATTTGCTGCATCTAGACAGC